TCGGAGAGAGGCGCAGCCCGTAGAGCCACGCCTTGAGTCGCCACACTTTTCCCTGTTGTTCCGGAGAGCACTCGAACCCTTTCGGAGGGATGACGTAGATCGGTTTCGCATTTGCAGGAACCCGCGCGTGGAGGAATGCCGTCTTGATATCGGCTTGCTTCAGGCCAAAACCATTCTTGGCTGCGATAGCAATCAGCAGGTGGACGGATTCCATGGACGCCACAGGCGCCGCTTTATCCTCGCCCGTGTCTGCTTGGTGAAAGCCTTGGACCACAACGCGGCTCTTCAGTCGAGCAAGCTCGCCATTCTTGTACTTCCGCTTATAAAGGTACCTTGACGGGATCGGCTGGTCCTGGGCACTCGTCGGCGGCTCGACCCAGTCGTACACATCAAGGTCGACAAGCGACTGGTTTTCGTTCCGCATGGACTCTTGCCAGTCTAGAGCATCCTGCCCACGGATCGCTTCGTCGTAGCTCGAAGGGTCGGGAGCCCTGTAGCCCACTTCGCCAGGGTTGCCAGTCCCGTTGTTGCCAAGCGAGCTTCCGGTGAGCAGGGAGCGTTCCACTTGCTCGAAGGCCTCCTCCTCCGTGGCAAAGGTAAACAGGTTCAGACGTTCAGTCGGCTTGGGGTTCCTGGTGCTGCGACGGGGGCCCGGCTCTTGCGCCTGAGGCGTGGGCTCCGGCTCGTTATCCTTCTGCTCGTCTTGTGGCTCCACCACACTGTCGACGTCGTCATCAGACTCTTCCGGACCGGGATGGTAAATCATTGGAGTCTCTGGCAGCGGATCATGCCCTGCCTTGGGGGGAACCACGTCGCGCGGGGCTTTCTCGCGAATAGAAACTTCGGCGGAGTTGGTGATCTTAAACTTGTCACGAGGGGACCATAGCCTCCACGACCGGCTTTTAGGGTTGACACCGACCAGAAACATCTTCTCAGCCCTGGCAGCCAGTTTGTTGGGCCTGTCCCCCGCTTCCACGTGCTTAAAGCATACCGAACCGAATTCGCGGATGTGGTGCAAGCTGCCAAGCGGTTTGTTCTCCCATACCTCAAGTGGTGCCTTGCCGCCCAAGACGTCCGTAGGCGTGCGATTCAGTATATAGATCGCGTATTGGAACGCTTCGGCCCACAGACTCTCCGGTAGATGAGGTGCCCCAAGAAGAAGGCGCCGCGTTATGGCTGCGACCGTGCCAAAGCCACGCTCGGCGACGGCGTTGCCTTGAGGCATGTACGGGGCGTTGGTCTCGATTTTGATTCCAAGTGATGCTGCCAGCGCCGCGAACCTTCCCTTGAACTCGCCCCCTCCGTCGCAGTGTAGCGTGGTGATACACAGTCCTTCCGGGTCGGCTTCCTCCTTGACAACAGTTTCCAGCGCCTCAGCAGCTGCATCTTTGCTCTTGATGGGAAAACCAAACCTCATGCGGGTATTGTCACACGTGAACATCACCGCACCCTTGTGTCCACCGAGAGATTTTACGGAGTGCGACCAGGTGTCTACGTGCAAGAGCGCAAGACGAGTGCCGGCGCGAGGTCGGTTAGCCGGTGGGTGACTAGACTTCTTGCTGTTGCCGACAGCACATACCTCGCAGTCGCCAGACTCGATGTTTTGGTCAAATTTAACCCCAGAATGCTCCTTCCTCGCCAGCTGCTGGAGGGCGCGCGGATTACAGTGGCCCATCCTCCGGTGCCACATGTGTGCATTCACCTTCGTCTTGAGCAGCATCGCGGTCCCGTCCATCCTCATGTCGTCGAGGACAATGTTCACGCTGTACATCCGCGAAATCTCCGTGGAGATGGGGAAGGCCTGATCGCTGCTACGGAGTGCTGGAGGAGTAGACAGAAGATCGCACATCACCCCCCTTTCCTTCAGGGCTCCGACCGAGAGGATGTTCGCTCCTAGGTTGTCAACCAGTAGTACTTGTAGCTCCACCGGGACGAGTTGGTTCCGGTCGTTTGAGATGCCGAAACGCAGGATACCTTTCTGAGCCGCGCTCGACGTTCCACACGAACCTTTGATCCTCACGTTGCAGTCCGACTTCTCGGTCACGTGGCGAGATGCGTAGGAATCCGCGCTAACCATGTGGCTAGACGCTGCTGTGTCTACGAACATAATGGTGCTCCTGGCGGACTCGTCCTTAACCTGGTACACACTGGTGTAGGCAACTATATCTGTTGCATCAGCAAGCGGGTTCTGCACCTGAACGTCACTAGCAGCATCAGCAGCACGCTCCTCGGGCAGCGGCACAGCAGGGGTATCCAGCACTTGCTCATCGTCGGCAGCGCGCTCCTCTGGCAGCGCCGCGGCAGGCGCCTCCGCCACCTGCTTCTCAGCAGCAGCGCGCTCATCGGGCAGCGCCACAGCAGGCGCATCCAGCACCTGCGCATCATCAGCAGCGCACTCCTCTGGCAGCGCCGCAACAGGCGCCTCCGGCACCTCCTCCTCAGCAGCAGCGCGCTCCTCCGGCAGCGCCGCGGCAGGCATTTCCAGTGCCTGCGGATCGTAGATGACAAGACCTTCCTGCACGCCCACGGCGGCGCGCTTCTCCGGCAGCGCCGCGGCAGGCATCTCCAGTGCCTGCGGTTCTCCAAACGAGATGGAAAAGTCCTCCGGCTCACCGCTGGATTCCTCGACTCGGGTGAACCATGCCTGCGTGGACGGTTCCGGCGCGGCGGCATTCGCCTGTTGGGCGTTATCCTCTCGCACGTTCTCCAGGCGAAGGGGGCAGCCGTCCCATCCGTGCTCTGTAGAGTTGTGGCAGTACTTGCAGCGTCCCTGACGGTCTCGGCCCTTTTGGTGACTTTTGTTTCCGCCTTTATTGGACTTGTTGCCGCGGCCTCGCCCGCGCACATCTTGCGCGCCTCCAGGGCTATCGCCTCTGGAATTTCCGGCGGAGGAGCCGCTGCTGCCGTTGTCTCCGGTCGGTTGGCTGCCATTGCCTTGGCGGTTGCGTCCGCCGCGTCCGCCACGTCCGCCTTGCTTACGGAAACTACGTGCACCCCCGTGCACGACCGTGTTGTGGGCACGGCCGTGGGCAGAAACCTTCCCCCTGATCTGCAGTGTATGGTACGCGGTCGCTCGGTGCGCGACATTTTCGAAGTCAAGATCCAACTCCGAGCCATCGGCTTGTCCGCACACCAGCGCGGCCTTAAGTTGGGCGTAGTGCTGGTCAGGAAGCGCGTTCAACAAGATATGCGTCTGGCGGGCTGGTACGACCTTGTCTCCAAGTGACTCGAGTTCGGAACTGATACGACGCAAGTCTTGGATTGCACGCGCCGGGTCGTAATCGTCCTCGGCAGTGACCGCAAGTGATCCTAACTCTCGCTGCAGTTCATGCATCCGATAGGTGCCCTTCTGGCGGTACTTCGCTTCTAGGGCAACGTATGCCGCACGTCCGTCCCCATGCTCACCAACGCGAGCGGGGCCGAAGGCTCGAACGACTTGGGAAGCAGTGCTCGAGAATCCATCGGCGCAGTCGGACGTAGCAAAGTTTAACCGTGTGTACAGTTTGCCGTTCTTACGTTTGAATTCCAGCGTCGTCCTGTCGAACGCAGCACGATCCGAATCCGCGCTGCTGGCCGCCGATGCCGGGGCGGTCTCCGTCCCAGCCATGATGTCGCCTAATCCTTGCTCATCCATGATGGAGTAGAACAGGCCACTCCAGCCGTGGAAATCTTCCGGCTTCCCGCTAAACGGGACGTATCCTTGTTTCAGGTAGTTCGTGGCGGACGCCATGCTGCTGCTGGGGTGTGACTCGATGTGAATTACCTACCAAACGCTAGGCTCATGACCTGACAACAGAATTGTAGTTGCTGTTTGTTGTGTAGTTGGCAGTGGTGGCGCAGTTTGGGTAGATACAACACAGAGTGATCATTAGATCCAAAACACAGGCGCCCAAGCTGTCTTCACCTGACGGTTACAGACTTGGAGACACGCCTTCACAATACTGCACAAAACCCATGCAGTAGAATAGAGTCAGTTCTTGCATACAAATCCCAACACAAACACACCAAACATTCATGCAGCAGTGGATAAAGCAGCCCGCGGAGGCGCGGAGTAGCTAGCGCGGAGGCGTGGGGGGGGTGCGACAATTATCACTATTATCCCCCTTACGAAAGAAAAACGCTGTTCAGCTAGGTACGGGGAAGGTGAGAGCACGGAAGGAGCAGCAGTGGGACGTTTCGTATCGGATACGCTCCCCCAGCAACGATCATGTTTCTTATTGAAACGTTTCTTATGCTGTGGTCGGGATTGAGCTAATGTAGCTGTGTTTCAGTCCTTTTTTCTTTGTTTTCGTAAAAGCTCAGCCTTTTTTTCTTCACGGAATGTTTCATAATTGCGGGCCCGTACTACTGACAGTTAAAACACAACAAGCGTTGGGAACGACCAGGGGTCGTCTCAAGAGTGTACAGTGTCTCTTTCCTTCATTATTTCCCCTCAAATGAACCCTCATTTTTCGCAAGATTGCGTCGGTGGAGAATTGCACCTTCGGCTTCATTCAAGGGCAGGAACAGGATAGATACTTGCGCGCGGGACTCCATTACACTCGTCTGAGAAGCGTAAAAGACAACAGGCAGACCGAGTCAAACGATCTTGTTACCAGCAACAACAAAAAGCTAAATGAAGTCTGGTGAAACAATGCAGCGACGAACGTAGCGAAGTGCTGTGCATTTCAGCCATAGGACGACGACCTTGCGAGTTATCATGCACCAGACTACGCCATGCCAAATATAGACTAGAGCATGTATGAAGAAGGTGCAACGATACATGGTATCCTGGGGGTATAGCCCCGTCCTTGTCTGAAGCCCGCTCCCTTGCTTATTCCCGCCGCCAACAGAAAGCGAGGGGAGGGGCAAAGGAATATGCGCCAGGCCACGCGATGCACTAAAGTAGAGGTTTCAGATTTACCAGCATTAGCAACCTAACGTTGGTGGGATAATCCAGTCGCTGCAACATGTGGCTGGTACGCTCAGCTAGAGCGTCAGCAGCAGCAGCAGCGTCAAGGCGAGGATGAATTGCCCTCCGCAGAGACACCTGCTAGTTTGCGGCAAAAAAACGATTTGTCGTGCGAAACTCTCGGAGTGCACTTTTTCACTTTTATCAGCGCCTACAGCACGGCGTATGCCAGCAAGCTGCGAGGATCGCCTTGCCTTCTCTCTCAAGTAAACCTGATATGTTGGTTTGTTAGTGCTAGGAGAGGGCTCGCACAGCGCTGCTCCGCATCGAAGCAGAATGGAAACGAAGCACAAGGTGGGCATGCTTCTCCGATCACCACAAAGCCGTGGAAACCGTCAGTCTTAGAGCGTGAATAGCACCCATGTCCCATTCACACCCACGACCTGACAGAGTCTAGTGCTCTCTGGTGATCGGAAGAGCATGCCCACCTTGGTGTAGTATCCATATGACTACGAACGAAATGATATCTAGGTCACCGGCCAGTCCTTGCTCAGCTTCCTCATCTTGCCGCCAAACACGAATTTTTACGACAATGTCCAAAAACGGCCCTCTGCACCATCCCTACACTGCATAAAATACGAGCACTGGTGTCTGAAAAATATTTGACAAGCCTGTTCCAGACTCTGGTCTCACTCGAAACAACGGTTGGCCCATACAATAACCGTGAATAAATCCCACCCAATATTTCGCGCAAGTTATTGGCAAACGTTTAAACATCAAATTTTTGCGGTCACGGTACACGCCGCACGAAGCGCCGACTTTAGCGTGCCGGCGACAGCCATGGATCGGGCGTCGTCAGCGCTCTCCCCGGAATCATCTGCATCATCACCCGTACCACCAGCACCAGGGCCAGCACCGGATGATAGCGCCACGCGCGACAGTTCGTCCCTCTGAGCTTTGAACAACTCCTTCACCTGAAAGAAGGTACGTTGTGAACGTGGATAGCACGCATTCACGAAGGAACTCAAATTCAGTTTGTAGCACGATAGCTTGGGTTGAACGTTTCTTAATAGCCTTGCTACTGATGATTTGCCACACAAGGGACAGAAACAGAAAACCAGCCTAAGCGGCTCTCGCGTCTGGTGTTGTTGTCGAGCACAGCAGTAGTCGTGTGGATCGTCCCCGAAAAAAGTAAGAAGAGCTTCGTCCGGTCTTTATTGCCAAAACAATCGGCGACACAGCAACAACGCTGCTGCAGCAGTAGTTCTAGATCAATCCCACACTACCGTTAGAACAACATCCCACACCCATGAACGATCCCGACCCCCCCCCCCCCCCCCCCCCCCCCCCCCCCCCCCCCCCNCCCCCCCCCCCCCGCCCCGAAGAAAATGGTCTAACGACCACGCCATGCACGGCTATGAGCACACACACACACCCCTGACCTTCGTCTCTCTCCCACTACCTTCCCCGCAATGGCGCAGCACACCAACCCGTATGTTCTCACCTCTTGTTCCTCATTGACTATCCTGGCGTCGTACATGGCGCGGATGTTCTCGTCGTAGTGCTCCAGCACCGCTCGGCTGATGGCGGCCCCGACCTTAGCCGACGTCTCCGCCGGCAGCAGGGCCGTCGCTCCCGTCCCCACCGCGAAGCCAACGGCCCGCCAAGCGGGCAGGAGGAGGCTCGGCCTCGCTCGTCGATTCGCCATCGCGGACTCGAGCTGGAGGGAGGGGGCGGGGGGGGGGGGGGNGGGGGGGGGGGGGGGGGGGGGGGGGGGGGGGGGGGGGGGAGAGGGGGGGTGTACTCTTGTTTTGCATGTGTTTTGACCACGCGCCCACGAGAGGACGGAGCGTTGTACGCATGCCCAATCGTTCCTTCCTACTCTGCTGCCAAAACGCGGCTCAAAAATGTTTTTAAAAGCGGATTTGTTGTGTGATATTAAGAAAATAAAAAAAGCGGAGAGGGGGGGAGTTGGTTGGAAGCAGGGGTGGGACGAAACGTAATGATTGGGAGACGTGGGGTGGAACGTCATGAACACAGCTTTGTTTCCGGTGGGCGTTTAGCAGCACAACGTAAAAACGCGGGGCCCCGATGGGTGCCCCCCGCCGTTCGCTCCCTCGCGTCCTAGTTGTTGGGGTCTGTGTTATTTTTGTCGTGTTTTGCTCCATCCGCTGTGTTTCCGCCGTTGCTGCCGTTTGCCAGCATTGCTTCCCCGTGTAAGATAAAGTTACACCATTAGACAAGTCAGCGCTGACTAGTCTAACCGTGTAACTTTATCTTACAAAAGATATACGCTCAGCTCGTTAGCACCCGGTTGGATCACTTGGGTTTAGAGCTTGGGATTGAGAGCAGGGAGAACGGTGAAACTTGTTTCACGCACGGGTTCGAATCCCGGCTACTCACTTTCCCAAGCGCCATAATGTTCTTTTCAGTCAGCGCCTGGCGAGGGGTCCGGCCCCGGAGATCCCTGCTCTCAATCCCAAGCTCTAAACCCATGTGATCCAACCGGGTGCTAACGAGCTGAGCGTATATATTTTGAAAGATAAAGTTACACCTTTAGACTAATAGTCAGCGCTGACTTGTCTAGACCAATGGTGTAACTTTATCTTGCACCCCGCTTTTGTCTGGGTTTTGTGGGACCACTCCAGATTGCCGCCCACAACCAACTGCATCCGAAGCAATCCCTCGAGCCTGCTGGTGTTGGTTGGTGGAGCGCCGCGTGCCGAGAAGCCAGCAGCAGCCTCAAAACAACCGACCGCGATGATTTCGTGTGTTCGAAGTCGAAGTTTGGCCGGTCAAAAATAGGGTAGTCGGAGATGTAGGTAAGTAGTAAGTAGGTTGGGTGCTCGAGCCCTTCCTGCGTAGGTACACTGCTGTAAACCGCAGTTGTCTTCGTAAAAGTAGTCTACAGCCCCCCCCTCCCCCCCAAACGGATTTGACGTGAGACAGCTGGTGCACTTTCCTGCGTGCCGTGACGAGTTTTGACCCAGATTAACCAGAGCTCATAAGGAGCTTTCGCAAGGGCATATCTCTACAGTCGACGTGTACAACAAGCACGGATCAATGAGTCTGGCGTGTCGCCTGGGATTGGGGACTCGAATGGATCGGCGCCGCCATTCTTCCAACCCCTGTCCCGTTGTGTGCATTCCTATACATCTCCCCTGCAGCGGATTGCGCACCCAGCCTAATGTTTACAGCCTATCCGGCACTCATAAACAGGCGGGTCCCACGGGGACAGGCAACAGCAGTGACTGCGGCTTCTAAAATGGATCCGAGTGCAGCGCGGGCTTCTGCTGTAAGCAGAACACACATGTCTTCAACTACCGATACCTGCGGTCCTTTTAGCAAGCTTCAATATTGTATGCTGTTGTACGGGCAACGAGGTGTGCCTGCGGATTCAAAACTCCAGGGTGGACATTTCACTTGACACCAAAGCATGGGCATCCCCCCGCACCGGTAAAAGGTGATCACTTGGCCCCATATGACGCGCTTCTCCCTCGGGGCCTTTGTCGACATCACCGGCCCGCGTAGTATCCCGCTCGCTCAACTTCACGGCGTGTTTTCTCGAGACCACGCAACTGCCAACCGCCGCTGCCTTGCCGTTGTTGAAGCCAGATAGGAGCGTCTCGCAGGCCTGAGAAACTCTCAGCAACGAGTTCCCTGTCGAACGACTGGCAACACCGGACATGATGCCCCGTGGAGCGATGTAGCACAGCGGCAAGTGTGTTGTGTGCCCTTGAGTTCGCTGAACAAAACCAGACCAGTCGACTTCTTTCGTTCTTTCGTAGATCTACCGTAGATCTACGGTGGGTCTACGAGATCTACAGTAAGACAGAATTGTAGATCCGGCGAAGCCACCAGCCAGCTCAACGACTAGAGTTGACTACAGCTGCCACTACTGTCCTCCGTATCCGTGTTTGGTTAGGCAAAGATCGAACACATGGGCGCTAGATTAGCGGTAGCTCACATGGGGTCGGCCTGGGAAAAAAAACGTCTATACGGTTAGCAGCGAAGATCACGTGCATACCAAAGCATGCCTTTCTTGAGTTCCATGCACAGGATGGAAACAGGTTGAGATGTCAACCACAACCAAAGCTCTACTTCACCATCGGCCCAAGTTCGCGAGCGACCTTTTCTGACCCGAGCCCCGCGCTTTGCCCACGCGTGGGAATTTACATTTTCAGATGCCGTTCGTTCATCGACATCGTCGTCCCGTCCGTGGTGTACACGGCACAATGCTTTTTGTACCAAGTGCTTGAACTCCCCTGGGAGGACCAGGACGAGTCGACAAGAGCTCACGTCGTTGCACGCCCCAACGGGGATGATTCTGTGCTCTACAGCAATGCGAGAGGCGACACGTGCCGACATGGTACTACAGAACCAGAATGATGGAGAAAGAGTGTCATACGTAAGCGGACCAACAAACAGAGCTTAAGACTAGCATGGGTAGCCCCAAGCCACGACTATTGATACGTCAATAAGCACACGTTCGTGAAGGTCGTTGTCCATAGTTACGTAGTAGCTTCTAACCCGAAACTTGTGGCAAGCACAAAGAGGTTTGTTGCTAGTGGTGCATTGTGGCCTCCAGAATTGAGGCGCCGCCTCCACGTGATGAGAGCACCCACCATCAGGGTTGGTTGCACGGTTGGAACAAACAAACGGAACGCATATTCACAAGGACTGCTGCCCACGGCTTTTCCTCCAACCACACGGCACACACAAAACGACGATGCCGGCAAACTACACAATACATACTGGACTAACTAGCACGGGAAGAGTTGTTCCAAAGACCAAGATACAACCAACCACCCGTCACTTCCTTCCCCCCCCGCCCGATCCGTACTGCGGCATGAACAGCTCAATCCGCGCACCGGAACTGCTCCCTACCCCCGCCCTGCCCTTGCCCCACCCGAGACTCGCGAGATTCCGCCGCTTCTTGGCGGGCTCCTGCTGCTGCGGTTGCCCCCCGCCGGGTGCCCCCGCCGTCCCGTCTTCGATCTCAACTACCGCCGCCGCCGTCGCCTGTGCCTGACCGCTACCGCCACTAACGCTCGGTCCTCTCGGACCCAGACTTTGGCTCCTACCCACAACGCCCTCGGTAGCCCTTGCAGCGCTCTTCCTCTCGCTACCGGCGCTTGGGACAAGGACACCGCCGCCGCCGTCGCAACCGCCACCGCTGCGCGGCATTGCGATTGTCTCCTCCATGGCGGTCCTCGCGCCACCAGCAGGAAGCGGCGATAGTGTCAGCTCCGCGACGCCACAGCTCTCTTCTGCCAATTCCTGCGGCAACACACGATCGCAGACGGCGCGATCGCGGGCGGGGGGGGGTACACCCGATGGCGGGGGGCAAGTAAGGATCGAAGAAGAATAGCTTTTCACATTAGGAAGATGCTTGTCACTTTCGGAACATGAGGATGACGGTGGTGGAAACCAATGTTGTGTGCGTCGCCCGCGCTCCGCTTTTCGCGAAGGCGAGCGGTACGATTTGCGGGTGGCCGCACTATTTAGCGGCGCGTACAGCACCACCGCATTGCGTCTGGATGACGTCATCATTCTGCTCGTATGGGAGGCCGTACGAAGCAGCATTGGTAATCGGGGGCCTCGTCTACTAATTTCTGTACTTGCTGGCACATTTTCACCGCGGAACGAGACTGCGAATGTACGGGGCGGGTCGGGTGATCACAGACCACGACATGTGGCGCCTCGAACACCTGAAAGCTCGTAACTCGTCCAAGTTGTGTCGTGTATGGTCCCGCGGGGCAACTCTAACAAACACGCAGCGCCCAGCACCCAACGCCAACGGCGAAGTGATCTTTGACGACGACAACGACAACGACAACAACAGCTACAACAGCAACACCATCACCCCACAACAGCAACAACAAAAAAAAAACAATCATAGCTCCCTTCACCCCTTCTCCTTCGTCCTTAGCCACGAGCTGGTCGTGTGTGTACGCGTCCACGCCAAGATCGCCCAGCAGGCCCGCCAGCTCGCTGTCCTCGCGCGGTCCCTCGCCCTCGCCTGCATCAGCAGGCAAGGCAGAAAGATAAAACTGAGGCTATATCTCGAACGGGTAGAAGAGCCTACTTGATATTGTCTAGAATGATAGGTGTTGTCCCAAAGACGAGGAGATTTGTTTTCGGGACGTGATCCCAAGGGAGACCGAAAAGAAAAATGCGTGCTGGACTCAGGCCACCACGGCGAACAGCGGCAGCTTGGGCAGGAGACCGGGCGGTACTGCTGTAGCTTGTTGCACTATTGCAAATTGTTGCGAGGCATGTTTCTTGATTCGAGTGGACTACACATGCGAGAGTGCTGTCAGCTATCGTTGCAATATGCCGTCTTTTCAGAAAAAATACGCGCTGTGGACAGGGGGGGGAGCGGGGATGCAACGAAACGCCAAAGAGACGGTGTGCCTTGAGGGTCCTCGACCGTCCATAACACTCTGACAAAACACTCCATGAAATGAAACATAAAACAACATCACCACCACTTACGACGACATCAACAGCAACAACGACGACATCATCATCATCAACAACAACAACAACAACAACAACCAGGAAACTACGACCACGACCACGACCACGACAAAGCTCCACCTACTGTAGCTCACCCATTGCGCCTGTTTCCTTCGAAAGGCCGAGAGCGTTCTTCATGGCCACCACCAGATCCCCCTCGTCGGCCGCGTCCACCCCGGTGATACCGCCCACGCCCTGCAACAGCAAGCGGTATCGTATCGTATGACATGCGCACGCGATGAAGCGGGTTGGCTGTTGTTTTGTGTGTCCGTTCTGCTAGGAAACTCTTCCATACTCCTGGCGGTGGAACATCGCCACTGTTTGCGTTCGCGCTACAGCAGTACTCGATGCTCACGCGCGAGAAGGGTACCACGGAGGTCTTGCCACGCGTCCTCCAACAGTGACTCTCGAGTCTTGACGACGTTCGGGGTGACCGTACGAGCAGTCGTGTATACCGAAAGCCGGACGGGATGAACCGACGCCTCCTTGTGACGCGAGACCCCCGATTCACTACTGTTGCGCATGTATCTGCGTGCATGCACTATTCAGCCGGTAGGTACTGCCCACCCCCGATTCCATAGCGCTCACACACTTTTGATTCAAGCCAGGACGGAATCATGTCGAAAGCACAAACATGGGGAGCGAGGCGATTAGCGCTGGGAAGTGAGAGAAGAGGCGTACTAATGGTGTACGTGCCCTAGTTGAAAGACTATTAAACCACTAGACAGGAGAAGGGGGGCGGGGGGGGGAGGGGGGGTACAGACGCCGACAGCCAGAGAGAGAGAGAGAGAAAAGGTGTCCGCAAAGAGAGAGAGAAAAGGTGCCCGCACTTTTCTGATAGGGGAATATTTGAAAGGATGTCTCCTTTGGTCGAAAAGGTAGCACCGTACGAGACGGCAATCCCTTCCCTACACCTTCTGCGGCAAATCGACCCTACCGGCACAAGTCTGCGCCTACCCACACCTACTGCTGAAATCTACTGCTGGGAAGTCACCATTCCGATTGCTACAATCTCCCTCACAGACTTCGTCCAAAAATCGCTTACTTTGCTCCCGGCACCACCCGCCGCCGCCGCCGCTGCCCCTCCTCCCGCTGCGGTGGCGGCAGCCAGCCCGGCCTCGTGCTTCATGCGCAGGGTCTTGAGCAGGGAGTCGTCGCTGAACTTGAGGAGGTTTTGGATGCCGAATAGCTCCCCCTGTTGCTCCTTGGAACCCTACGGCGCAATAACAACAACCGCCCAATGGGGTGCGATAAATTTGGTTGGATCGGTTGCTGGGTAGGGTTAAGTTGTCGAGGTTGAAGCAAGCCGTTCCGCTGTTGTCGGTGTCGTTGTCGTTGTCGTTGTCGTTTGTCATCGCAAAAAATATAAACCAATATGCTTCTTTCAATATCTGTTATTTTTGTTTATGGGGAAAAAATAGGGAAGGCCAGAGACAAAGTGGGCTATGTTCCCTATTTCCATAATAACTCCTTGCCTAATTAATCGTTGATGAGACCAGAGCTCTCTGTGTACAACATGTGCGTATGTTCTATTTACTCGAGCTAACGTGTTTGAAGTCATCAACGGGATAGACAGATGCATATGCCAATAGAGCCTGATCGCTTTTACTGGTCGGATGTCTGCCCGAGGCTATTATGCTTGGCAGTCGTCCATCCCGCCACTCGTCGACTCCTTGCGGGGATCCATAACCCTCCTGTTTCGTATCAATTTGAATATATACGTCTGTGCTTTCTCCGTGACAAGGAAACCTGTCTAGACTATCATGCGGCCAGTTTGAGGCTACCACGTAAGCCGTTCATTCGTCCAACCCTTCGCCGAAGCGTGTTTTAAGGCTTTGCCAAGAAGGGGGGGTCAGGGGGGGAGGAGGGCACTAATTGTTCCTAGCCCGCAAACAGGCCCATTTTGATCACCAGGCATTAGGCCTTGCACCATTCTGCTCGGGTGTCAAGGAGCAGAAAATAATACTGAAATTTCTATTTTGGGCAGAAGCCGAGCACAGATGACCGAATTGACCGTATTTGTCGTAAAATCGAGCATAAATGGCAGTTTTGGGCAGAAAGAAAAAGAAATCACAATGGGGCAAGGCCTACCAGGCATGGCACAACAGTTCATTTACCTCACAGGGTCACTTCGTATTTACCATTTTCTATCAAAAATTGCTCTACCTTGGGGAGTGTATGTGTGTGTGTACTCAAGCAAACGCATGCCGCAGTCGTTAGGCCATTGACCTCGCTTGGGGGGGGGGGGGGGGGGGGGGGGNNNNGGGGGGGGGGGGGGGGGGGGGGGGGGGGGGGGGGGGGGGGGGGGTGAATTCCTCCCAACATGCAGAATACAACCGGCTTGGCAGGCGTTCGTTTTGCGCTGGGTGTGTTCGTGTGACTTGTTCAATGCCATCGACCGCGTCAACCGACTACCGTGGCCCATAAAAAAAGACGTGGGTCGTAGACAACGGGTTAGTGCCATGTCGACGTCTTTTGGGCCAACGGCGGGGGGTGACGGCACAGCATCGAAGTGGTGCTAAGAAAAGCGGCTTGCCAGAGGTGGAAAAGCCCGTGTACGCGTACCCCTTTGCGAGAAGGAGGGACCGCCTTTGCGAAAAAGAGGGACCGCCTTCACCGGAAACGAAGTATTGTGAGGAACTTGAACGGGGAGGGGGTACGCAGACCCTATTCCCTAACCCTTAACCGTAACCCAACTTCCCCCGATTGCATGCTTTATCCAACATGTTTGATAGAAAAACCTTGCGCAAGCTGCTGAGAAAGCGAGACGTGGGCATGCGCCCAGAACTTGCCTGCACAGCGTTGAACTGCCGGCGCCCCCCTCGCGCTTGATCTCCCATCGCCGCGCTTGTGATCTGCAGCTTGTAGATCTGGCGCATGTAGCACATCTCTTCGATGGTGCCCTTCGAAATCAGACGGAAGACCGCGACCTGTTCTCCCACAAAAAAAAAAGGGAGAAAAGGGAGGGTCAATCAGCACTGCTGTTGTTGTTGTTCCTTGCTTCTTCCAACCTTGCCATTCTGCGCCATTAAAAAACAAAATACAACTGACCAAAAAAAAAGTACGATCTGAATGAAGTCAGCAGCATTGAGCACGACTCAACGAAAAAACAAGACAAGAGGGTCGCGACGAAAACCACACAAAAAGGGGGGGGGGGGGGGAGACAAACCTTGCGCTTCTGGCCGATGCGGTAAGCGCGATCCTGAGCCTGAAGACCCAGCGCAGGGTTCCAGTTGACGTCGTACAGGACAACCCTGGAGGCCGTGTGGAGGTTGAGGCCTTGCCCTCCGGCTGTGTTTTGTCGGGACAGAGTGCGCGGAGGAGGCGGTTATGTATGTGTAACGGTTAACGGTTTCCTGTACCTTATCTGTGGCGGTATGTATGTGACGGTTTCCTGTATCATATCTGCGGAGCACGCGGTATGTATGCAACGGTGTCACGTATATTTCTCTCCCTAAACCCCCCTCCCCCTGCTCCCCCTCCCTCCTCCCCTCCCTCCCTCTACCATCCATCCCCCCATCTCCCTCTGTCTCACCTCGCGTGCTGATGAGGAATACGAACACGCCCGCTCGGTCCGAGTTGAACTCGTTTATCCTCGCCTGCCGCTCCTTGCCCGAGGTAGTCCCGTCCAGCCGACGGTACACGTAGCCCTTCGCACCTACGAAACTCTGCTTGGCGGGAAGGCGTGCGAGAGACAGAGCGGCGTTTTTTTTTGTTTTCTGAGCTAAAAGAATGGCAATGACGACGACAGGTACGGCTCACCACAAGCCCTTCACCACCGAAGCGTCCGGAACAAGCTCGGAATAAACTGGTGAAACTTGTTCGGAGTTGTAGACCGCAGCGACATCATTGTGTTCCTCGAAAAAATATTGATTGCAGATACATACTGCTGTAGCAGATGTCGTGCTCATGTCCAAGGAAGCGATTGCCGCAGAACGAGCGTATAGGCGGGAACGGGAGAGGGTCAGCTCTACGGGAGCAACGAATGACATTTCCGTTGCATATAATACGTTCGTGCACACCTCGAGGACGTCGAGCATAGCGGTGCTCCAGCTGAACACGAGCACCTTGTCCCGCGTCTCGTGGAACTTAGCCAGCAGAGTCTGCTCATCAGAACCAACCGGGGGCGGGAGCGCTTATATGTGTACCAAAAGGAACAAAAAAAAAAGTTGTTGTCACTACAGCGGGTTTGGGACGGCGCGGATTGGGATGTACAGTCAACGAAGGCGTGCGGAAGATGCACGCGGCAGGGCCATCATCGGTGGCAACCTCAACCACGCAACCAGCGACAATATCACTAGATGAGAACAAAACAGATCCCTCCGGAGTGGGCCCATGACACAGCCCAGGCAGTTTCATCAAAGGGGTCACGCACGATGAAAATAAAAGTAGGCAGGAGGACCAGCCCACAGCTGGCTGCCAGTTGCGACGTTCTTGTCCAAGCTCGAAGAGCCCACACATCCGACGTGCTCTCCACTCGAAGAGCCCAGCAAACCACAATCGAACAAAAAGAGAAAAATCTTTTACGAACCTGAATATACAGCAGACGTGCACGTGCACCAGTTCGATAGCGCAGACCTCGCGCAGCCCTGAACGACAGCGATGACCAAGGTCTCAAGCCCTCCATCGCAAGGATTTTATTTCAATATATGAAGTAGAGAAAGGGGTTTCGTATCCCTACCCCTATCCCTACCCCATACTCCGTATAAAAACCAAGCTTAAAAAAAATAACCTCGACGAGGATACTGCGGCCGCAGTAGCAGCATCAACGCCCAAGCGAGTGAGTCAAGTCCAAGCACATCACCTCGAGGCTCTTCATCTTGCCGCAAACGCCCACTTTCGAAACGTCCAGGAACTTCTGTGACCGCTCCAGCCCCCCCATGATCTCTTTCGCCCTGTCCGTGAACGCTACCTTAGAACGAAAAAAAAGAAAAGAGAGAAGTGAAAACCGCGCGGCGACCGGACCCGACAAAACATCACAGCACGACAGAGAGCAGAGCGGAAGCAAAAGAAAAAAAAGAAAGGTCGAAAAAACAACAATGAGGCACAGAAACGCAGCCAAGAACTAGGAGGTGCAGCGGGCTCAACAACTCATCATAACCACCCTACCCCCACCGATCAGCAGTTATTCGAGCTCGAGTCACAATTCTACAGCAAGCGCCTGCACTCCACAATCTTTGGTTTGAGCCGAGGGTGGGGTTCGTATTTCCTAGAGTCAACATGCTACGAATGGTCGCTATATGTGTTTTATTAGTGTAGGGGTTCCTAAACGGGCTCACAAACGGAGCTCAAGCTGTTAGATTTCGAATTTTTTCGAGGCTACTGCTGTATGTGAGTCTCAATTTTTTGACTGCAGTTCTTATTGCGGGCGCTTACTGCTGTACCTCGTGAAGCTTTTACGTTAACACTATGACAACAACGACAACAACAACAACATCGTCATCATCATTATCATCAACAACAACGACGACAACCACAGGGACAACATCGTCACCACCACCATCATCATCATCATCATCATCATCATTATCATCATCATCATCATCATCATCATCATCATCATTATCATTATCAACAACGACGACGACAACAGCGACAACATCGCCATCGTCACCATCATCATCATCATCATCATCATCATCATTATCATCATCATCATCATCATCATCATCATCATCATTATCATTATCAACAACGACGACGACAACAGCGACAACATCGCCATCGTCACCATCATCATCATCATCATCATCCTCATTATCATCATCATTATCATCATCATTATCAACAACGACGACGACAACAGCGACAACATCGCCATCGTCACCATCATCATCATCATCATCATCATCATTATCATCATCATCATCAACAACAACAACAACAGCGACAACAACGACAAGAGTCAGCGTTCCCTCAGGCACGGAGACAGCGCAACGACGACGCCGGGACCGTGAACAACGCCGAGAATCTCGCAGGAGCTACATACATATTGTGCAATACTTCCCCTTCTCACCGCTTTCTTCGCCCACCCCCCCCCCCCCC